TCGCATTCGCATTAATGTATGAATGAAGAGTCAAAGAGAGATGTTTGTTCGTGCAAGACATGAAATAGATCTCATTCTACTTAGTGGAAAGTGGATTTGTCTCCTGCATACTCTCCCACTACATTTATGTCTGCATCCTTCGATGCCTCTAACTAAGAAGCTTTCGCACCCTCTGTTCGAATGTCTCATTACTGACTGCTTAAAGGTACCATCACCGAACCCCGTCTACCCTACTCCACCTAACCCTACGCTACCATATCGTTTCGTGCAGTACCGCACTGTGCTGTGCTGCACTACAGTTACTCTATTGGCACGAAGAAAGCGACTTATTTTGTCACCGCTCCGATGGATTTGCGTGCATGCATTTACGCTCCACACATGTCTCTTGGGACATTAACACGCCTAGGCGGGTCTTGTGTCGCGTTTTAACTGGAGTGTAGTGGAGTAGACTTGACTCGCCACATGGCCTGTCTATATTAGTGGCATTAACCATCTACCATCCAAATCTTTCGTATGTAGCTGTCACTGTTTTTGCTTAAAGATGTCAACTATGTGAATGTGCGATTCCCTCTTCACTTCTCTGCTACCTGGATGCAACCGAGATAGGTAGACATGGCTGGGTGGCACTGAAGTGAGAACAACGTAGTAAGGAGAAACACACAGTCAAAATCCTGCTGCCAAGCAACTATGTTAAGGCCCATCATTTGTTGAATGGCTTCACTTTTGTGTTAATGTTCCAAAGACTAGCGATGTACACAAGTGATGACCAGCACATTTCCTCCACCTTCAATGCAGTTTCTCAACTAAACGAAGCTGCAGCTTCTGTGGACTTGCAATGATGCATCAGTGTGGTTGCAGCCAATTATCTGTTGCATGGGAATCCGACGACTGGCATGGACGGCTTATGGGTGTGCTTCTTTCTTCCCCCACTGCGTAGTGATGGCTGATGTGGGAGACTGACCAAGGGAAGCGTCAAATCATACGCTGAAAAGAAGGCAGGGTCTATGTTATAACTCATTGGCCATTTAAATCCTGGTTTTACTGTAAGGCGACGTCGTGACAACGCCATCATACATCCGCTGGTGCTCAAGCCCTCCTCTACCTCTATTGTCTTCATTCGCAAACAGAGAACGAAGTCGGGAATTTGACTACCTTCTTTCTTGAATGTGAGGGCAGCTCCTACACGAAATCTGGTACGGATAACCAATGTTAATGTTTTTCCCTTTACTTCACTTCTTTGACAATCGTCTTCAAGATACTGGGAATAATTCCATCTTATTTTAAATACTTTACTTCATTTCTGTAAATAAGAAGCTAAAGCATCACTAATCTCCTGAGCAACTACAATGCCTGGGTGTCCGCATGCTCAATTTTGAACTTAGGTAGGAGGCCAACTAACCACACATTTTACTGTCACCCTTTTAATGCATCCCATGTACAGGTGTTTAAGTGTCAGCATTAATTTGACTAGCGTTGGTTCTGCCTTCTAAAATTGTCTACCACCGCCTTTGCTACCAAAGTGGTGCAGAGGGATGCCTTGATTATCGCCTCTAAGATGGCTTCGTTTTATGCGGTGTTTATGAGAAGTCGAAAGTGGTGAAAAAAGAAATGTCATATTTGTCACCTCAAAGAGGGCTTTGTTTTACTATAAAGGCCTTCATTAAATTTCACCGACGCTCCAACCGACAAAAGATTATTGGAAGCTAATGAATGGATACCATAATAAACAGATACGTGATCCCTGTCAATATTTTGATTTTGCCTCCCATAGATAGGTAAACTTCTTCCTCTCCGAAAACAGAAATTTCAGTGAAATCACTTACGGCGAAGAGGAATGAAGCATTGAAGCATTGATGAAAGAGCCTAAAAACGGCCAAGAGGAGAATCGCAGCAAAAGTTTTCACCCACTACCCAGTTACACTACCTCTCACGTCCATCGTTTGAACAATCAGAAGTGGCGAAATTTGGGATTTTACTTTATAATAAACTAGGAAATTCCATGAAGATGGAAAGCGATTGATTCCTGCCATTCACAACAATTTTCAGTACTGCTCAAGTTTCTTGGGGGGTGAAATGGGACATCCTCGAACAATTTGTGAATTTTAGTGTTTTTGAGCCAGAATAACGGGAAAATGGAGGGAAATGGG